GAAAGTGCTAACCACCTAGTTTATATAGCAACATTACTGTGGTTAATGAATATAATTAACAAAGAATGAGCTCCAAAAATGGTAGAAAAGTTGATTTTCACGTGATTTTAACCACAAAATAGCGTTTAAAAAATGGGCGTGGCCAAAATTTCGGCGCGCTTCGCACGCCATTTTTCTCTCAACCCCTCCATTTGCAAAATCCTGGATCCGCCCCTGCATGGTTAAACAACATGGACTACTAATACATGACAAGTGATAGCTAATGTAATACTGTAATTTTCATTTGTACTACAAACTTGGTACTTAGCCATATAATTCATTTTATCATGTTCATTGTGTCCCACGATCATTATTATAACACTATAAAACCAAACATTCATTGTCCCACTTACGGGTATAGAAATAATAGCTTTCTTGCTTTTCCTTTCCATTTAGCAATGTCACACATGGTCCTTTTATTGCCATAGAACATAGAACTTTGATTCTCCATTAAAAGTATTTCATTTATGACCTTGAAGTAATCAAAATGATAGCATAAAGTAGCTTTAATAGTGGTCCAGTAAAGATTTCTAGCTAAAAACAAAGTACAACCTAAGTTCAGCCATTTTCTTGGGTAACACCTTTTCCGGTTGCAAAGAAAATTCTTCCGGTTTAGGGAGGGTGCAGTTCGGCTGATTAAACTAATTACATGTATTGCATTCTTTGCTTTGCGCATGCGTATTTCACAAGCCCGGGTAACTAGTTTAATAAGCCAATCAATATTCATGAAAAAAAGGGCGTGGCTCTCTTTGAATTAAAAAATTCAAAACAAAATCAGAGTGCTAATCATTTCCATAGCAACCAAACAACTCCTTCAGAGGGAGAGAGATGTTTAAGAACACGTTCCAGTCTGGATTTCTCTCTGTCCTCTACAGCATTGGGAGCAAACCTCTCCAGATCTGGGACAAGAAAGTAAAGAGCACAAAAATGATGACTTTAAAAAGACATGTTCCTCTTTCTCTCCCTCTCTCTTTCTGAGTAGGTACGTAATGGACACATTAAGAGGATCACAGACAACGACATACAGTCACTAGTCTTAGAGATATGTGGGACTAATGTTAGGTTCGTATGAAGAAATACCATTATTATTATTAATTATTATTATCATTTTTATTAGTACTACTTACATAACTTGTCCGGCAGACCCACAGAAAACCCTCGGTATCAAGCTACCATTCCTTGTCATGATCATTAAAAACATGAAAAAATACTTTTCATTTGAAGTCCAGGTATTTCTACATTAGACGCCATTTTGATTCTGTCCCCACCCTATTAATCTCTCTCCCAAGGTTCTTGATGATAAGAATGTCCGTAGACGTTTCAGAGCCTCAAACTATCAATCAACGACGAGAGTGAAGCCATTCATATGCACAATGCCAATGAGATTAGACGATGGTTGGAACCAGATCCAATTCAACTTAGCGGATTTCACACGTCGAGCTTACGGGACCAATTACATTGAGACGCTTAAGATTGCCGTGAGTAACGCTAATCACTAAAGAGTATTTCAATCAGTTCCTTTTTCATTAGATTCATGCTAACTGTCGTATTAGGCGTGTCTATTTCTCCGACCGTCTTTATTCAGAAGATGAGCTTCCATCCGAGTTTAAGTTGTACCTACCAGTCA